CATTGGGTGAATTAATCATGGATTGCAACAAGGAAATACATTCAATCAAAGAACAATTATCATAATTAAAGTCCTTGTAATCCAAAATAGTGGGTGCATCCTATCTAAAGTTTTGACCTCTTCAAACCCACTTTTGTTGTTTTTATCACTAAGATCATCACCCTCCGAACAATTGGGACGCCTTCTAATTAAAGTTGACTCATCTTCAGTCCCCTTTTCATCATTTTTTATATTAATAAACAAAGATTCAACATGTGACTCACCGATCATTTTAATGTCTTCATCATTGCTATGATAAAAACCGGGTGCGAGCGCTTTTTCTAAAAATTTGTGTCTAGCTCTCATCCTTTCAATTCCTTTTCTACTTTCATCCATATTAACTTGGATAGACTTTAGAGATTCAGATATTTCGTCCTTTTTATGTGGCAAAATTTAATTTTAAGAGTATCCACATCATGAGCAATTATATCAATGTTTCTAGACATATCATCAACTTTGTTTAGTTTTTCTTCTACCATAGCATTAAAAATATTTTGAAAACTAATAAATTATTTAATGTTGTTCTCAAGCTCAATAGGTACCCTATTATTATAATATGAATTACCATAGGAATTACCATAATTATTAGAGGGATTACCGGGATACGGTCTAGGATTGAAATTCCCTCTATAAGCATTGTTATTAAAATTATTTCTAATAACAAAATTCACATCAATAGCATCATTATTTTGCTCAATCAAAGTGGATAATGGGATATCATTAGGATCAACATGAGCATATTTTCTAGTAAGCATAGAGCATCCATTTTATCACTGAGAGTAGAAACTTCTTCAACAAAGTTTACCTTCTTACCAGTTGGAGCTTGCTCGGTGTGCCATTGGGAATAATTTGCTGTCATATTATTAGTAAGCTTCGTGGCTTCTCCTAATGTCATTCCCATGAATGTACCACCTGCAACAGAGTCTAAAAGTTTTCTCGAAATAAAGTTTAGTCCCGCATAAAAAAATTGTATATCATCCATAAGAGTGCAACAATTTTTAATCATTAATTCCATTCTCTTCCAAGATTGTGCAACATGTTCTTGCTCATGTTGTTTAAAGTTCATGATTTGATTTCTAAGAGATATTATGTTAGCGGGAGGAAAATATTTAGCAATAAAAGCATCCTTATATTTATCCTAGGAATCAATGATATTGCTTGGTAAGGATGAAAACCAAGTTTTAGCTTTGTCCCTTAATGAGAACGGAAATAATTTCAACTTAACAATATCATTATGCACATCGTTTTTCTTTTGCATATCACATAATTCAACGAAGGTATTAAGATGGGATGCATCATCTTCATTAGGATTTCCATCAAATTTACTTCCATAATAAGATTTAGCAATGCAACATTAATATCATATGACTCCACACTAGTGGCGGGAGGAGCAATTGGAGTACTAATAAAATCATTGTTATTATTATTCGAGAAGTCACACAACTTAGTGTTTTCTTGAGACATAATGGCAATTCAAGCAAGCAAGGAAAATGATTTTTTTGTGTTTTTGAATTTTTTAACAAGATTAATAAAGGCAAATAAGCAAATAAAAAGTAGAAGAAGCAAATGATAATGTGTATGAAGGAACCTTGAGTTGTTTGATGAAGTATCCCCAGCAACGGTGCCAGAAATTCTTTCTGCTACTTGTGAGTTGCCTTGGTTTTTCCCCGAAGAGGAAGGGAGAAGCAATATAGTAGCGGATAGTATTTCCCTCAGCAAAGAACCAAGGTTATAGAACGAATAATAGATCCATGCAAACAACCTTAAGCAGTACCTACACACACAAGAGAAAATACTTGCACCCAACGCGGGCAAGAGGGTTGTCAAACCCTTTATGCTTGTTAATTGCAAGGATAAAATCTCATAGTAGTAGATAAATAAATTGCAAAGTAAAATAAAATAAAATAAATTGTAGCAATGTACTTAGAGTTTTAGTAACATGAATAAAATACACCCCGGGGCCATAGTTTTCACTAGAGCCATCTCTCATAAAAATAGCATACAATGGGTGGACAAATTACTATCATGCAATTAATAGAAAAGTGCATAGTTATGACGTTATTCATGGCATGATCATGTATATAGGCAATACGCCTGTCACAAGTAGACCGACTCCTGCCTGCATCTACTACTGTTACTCCACTTCGAGAGCGCTTCTATGCTTGCCTCTCCAGATATTAAGTTCATGACAAACAGAGTAATGCATGAAGTATGATGACATAATGTATACAGAATAAAACCAAGCAATATGATTAAACCATGTCGTTTTCCCCTTAGTAGCAACAATACAAATACGTGCCTTGTTACCCCTCCTGTCATAGAGTGAGGACACCGCAAGATTGAACTTATTAGAAAGCACCTCTCCCCCTGAAGATAAATCAATCTAGTTGGCCAAACCAAACGGATGGATCGGAGAGAAATGCAAAGCTATAACAATTACACATAATAAAGTTAAAAAAAGACCCAATTATTTTCAATGAATAATTTGATCATAAACTCACAATTCATCGAATTGCAACAAACGCACCGCAAAAGAAGATTGCATCGAATAGAACTCCGAGGAGAACATTGCATTGAAGATCAGAGAGATATATATATATATATAGAGAGAGAGAGATCTAGATAATCACTATGGACCCATAGGTCCTGTGGGAACTACTCACACATCATCGGAGGTGCAGTAAAGTTGATGTAGAAGCCCTCCGTGATCGATTTCCCCTCCAGTAGAGTACCGGAAAAGACCTCCAGATGGGATCGCGGAAAAACAAAGATTTGTGACAGCGGAAAAGTTGTTTCGTTGGTGCTTCTAGGGGTTTTCCAATATTTGGGAATTTATAACACTGGAATTAGGTCATATGGAGCCACGAGCAGCCCGTAGGATAACAGTGCACCCTGTTGTCTTGCCGTCTCAATGTTTCTCTTCTGGACTCCCTCGAAACTTCCAGGGTCTCTTATGTTCCAAAAATATCTCAAATGTTTCGTCGTGTTTGGACTTCGTTTGGTATGGATTTTCTGTAAAGTTAAAAACAAGTAGAAAACAACAACTCACACTAGGCACTAGGTTAATAGGTTAATTCCCGAAAATAATATAAAATAATATAAAATATACAAGATTGGTAATATAATATAATGAAACAATAAAAAATATAAATATGTTAAAGGCATATGAGGTCACTACTTATAGATTGTTTCTACGAGGGAATCACTACTTATAGATTAACAATTTACTATAAATGAAACTTAGCACAACACAACTAAATAACCGTAAACTAAGCCTCCGTCCCAAAACAAGTCTAGTGGTTATAGTCAAAAGATTTAAATTGAAACCACGACACTTATTTTAAAACCGACGGGTAATAGAAAAACAAGCTCAAAAGTGTGCGGCTCAGATTGATTAAGAAATAGCTTATTTTAGAAACAAGGAAAACATGCTTTTTTATGTATAAAAAAAAGGCGATTGGATGAGGTCTCAAAACGTGTGGATGAGACGAAGCGTTCCTGTTTTGAGCCAAAAAAACCGAAGCCAGAAAAGGTAAAACCGTACTCTAGTCCACAGATCACTCTCCAGCCTCCAATCCCATCCCTTTCCTTACCACAAAAAGAAAAAACAAAACCAGCCGTGCCTAAACGCCGTGAAGACGTGACAAAGCTACGCCGTGACGATCTTTCCTGCGGCGCACCTCGCGAGCCCACTGTCAACTACAGTAGCCGCCAACCCGACCTACCGAAGTGCGTCGTCCGGGCCCACCCGGCAGCGCCCCGGCCGCGGCGGAGCCCCACGCCACGCTCCACGTGTCGGGGCTCCCCGGGGCGGATCTGACGGGCCGATGGAGCGCGCGGCTTTAGATTTCGTCGGATCCCGGCGGGTCGCGGGGCCCACCCGCTCCCTCCGGCCCTCCCCGTCTCCACTTGCTCCACGTCAGGGTCACCCCGTTATCTATTTCCCCCCTCTCCTCTCCCCCTCCTTC